AACTTGGGATGGTTTTTAGATTTCAATAACTAAGAGGGAGTAAATATTTAACACCAAGTATGGCTTAACCGTATTCAAAAACAAAATTAGCACCAGTTTTGTAATACCAACATAACAAAATGCTACGAAATTACTATTAAAGAAATTATTAAAGAAAAGACTAGTTATATGTAGTATAATCTTTATTCTAGTCAACATTACAAAACAGGATGAAAAATGAACAACATTATAGCATATAAACAATAGTAATACAAGTGATGAAATGGTGAAGACAACAAAATTTGAAGCTACAAGGTATGTCAGCTACATATATCATTTTACTTAATATTATTTATATTATGCGTACATTAAAGTTTTAATAATGCTCGAGGAAAATGCTAAGAACGGTTTCCATAACTGGTACATAGCACCGACTACTTAATATAAAATACTACAAAACTGTTCTAGCATCGTGCAAAATTCTTAGCCATTATAGAGCCATATGTTTCTAATATACATATAAACAAATAGCATTAGATGCGTACAAATATGTTTTATAATATAATGTAAATAAATTTCGTATACAACAATGTATATAGTAAAATAATGGTGAATAAATATATATATACAAATCTATTATGGTAACTAAAAAATTTGTTCAAGTTTCCTCCACAGAATTTTTGCTTAGAAACCAAACAAATTTTTTGATCAACCCAATGTACAGTATGAAATATGATAAAATTCAAATTAAATATTTCAACTTCATAACGTTAAAACATATTTCTCCTTAAATTGTAAAGGATTTTGGTATTGCATACGATATCAATAGATGATGAGTACTTAACTGAAGATATTTTTTATATTATTAATAACTTACCAGATGAAAACGGAGCCTGTACTTCCTGCCGTTTCTCCATCTTTTATTTCCGACGATCGAATGTATTACTTAATTTCCCAATAGTGAAATCTGAAACATTCGTAAGTGTTACAAATAGCATTAGACAGAAATTAAAGTTTTGCAAACATTTCATAAAATCCGGGAAGATTAGATAAAATATATATAGAGAGAGATATCGATGGAAAATTTTGTAAACGAGAAAGATGTATCGCCGACGAAACAAACGAAATTTATTATAAAGGAAATCGTGTGTGTGCAGTATTCCACACTTCGAGCGGGGCGACGTATACACTTTGTTGCCAAAGGAAGCCGTATTGACAGATGAACACTGGGCTTAATTATTTCGTATGTTAAGAGCTATTACCAGACGTCAAATAAGATACATACCTAAAGCAAAATAATTCCTATAAATCCATTAGCGTTACACACGGTTTATTATATCTAGCTCCTTCATCGGGAAACAAAATGTTGCATCTACCAATTTGTATCATGCATTCAAGGCACGTCAACCATTTTGTACTAGCCCTGTGCTGTTGAACATAAGCTTCGGGCTTCGGAGCTTATGAAGCTTCTCCCACTCTGTCTGCAGTCTATGATGTGTAGATATTCCGTGTATATATATATATATGTACGTAAAACACTAGCTGACGCGTTGTATGTGTGTACGTACACCACCGAACACGATTTGTCCATCCTACTTCTACCACAGAATACACCTGCAGCGAGACTTAGGGGAATCATCAATGCGCTTGCGTTCACAAGTAGGTCCCCATCATGAATGTAGTCCTAGAACAGCGGTGTTCAAAATTGTCTCCCGGGGTTCTGGATGCAAAGATTTCGTTTATTCGAGTCATTTCTTATTTCTATTAAGAATCATTTTTGAAGTAATATATAAGTATAAATTTATATGTATAATATAATATTGTACATATATATTTATATAATATAATATTATATGTATAATATAATATATAAGTATAAATTTGTTACGCATCGTTTTCTGCTATATATTGTCGTATTTAAAATTGTGCCGCGCTTTCCAATGTTACCAATGTTTTGCACATGCACATCTCCAATTCTCACTTTCCTCTTCCTCTAAGTAAAATAAAATCGAGGATGTAAATTTCGACCACCGAACCACTATGTATTCTCTACGTAAAAGATTGCTCTGTGCCTCTATAAAAATCCTCTGCAATTAGACAGAATTACACGTGTACCTTAAATTTCGAGGCATAAATTTTAAGCCTTTTAAAATACGCACATATATTGTGCATATAAGATATTCAGCAACAGGTGGGATATAATTTGGGGGATAATGTTCAATAACAGTAATATAAGACGAAAATGATGAATAAAAAGTTGCAATACTGTATCGACTTTTCAATTTTTAACAGTTAAAATCTGTCACTAGTAACACGTAAGACTCTGCCCATTGTCTCTGCCATAGTACATATGTATTGTCTGATACTGTGTTGAACGTATTGGGGAGCGCACTCTCTTATGCGTATTGACTTGACTCAGGTATGCCACTATTGGCGGAACAGATACTGAATCGTCGATAATTAAAAAAACGTAGTCAGAACGATTAACTTTTTTATTTTTTATTTTCGACTTATGTTACCATGGAGAATTATTCTTTGAATTTTCTCCTACCTGTTGCTAAATTCCCTTTATATATATATATATACATACATTGTATGCATGTGTGCGCTTTAAAACGATGAGCGTAGACAGTGGTGGATTTTCTCGTTAGAAACAGTGGGGCTTTAAAGTAACTTCAAATTTAAACGCTTGGCAATTCTGTAAAGGTTTGGTCAAAGAACTTAACGAAATATCGAAATTCATATAGGTGTCAATACGATGAACTGTCAAAATTTAGAAAATGACAGTGTCTTAAAGGGAATGTTGATTTAGTTGAACATATTTGTCACCGACAAATACAATCGCTAAGATTCAAATTTGATGAAAGAGAGAAATTATATCCAGTATTATTTGTTATTGTTTACATAAAACTTGCATCGAACTTGTATAGATAACCTTGAAGCACGTTATAATTTGAACATCGTTCAATCGTTTCTATGTTATTGTACGTTACCTTTTAATGATATTACTTGCACAGTATTATGAAGGTATACAATGGAGGTTTCGGAAACAAGGAACCGTCTTAGAGACTTGGATTTAACTTTACAACCTCGTATTATACCGCGATATAAAATCTGGCTTCCTCTTGCTACACAGCAGGTAAATTTGTAAATAAAATTTTTGTAAAACATACGTCGTTAGATTTTACTTATATACTAATTAATGTTATGGGGGTGTATAATTTTCAGTTGAGACTTAGAAATCTTGTACAAATAATAGGATGTAATTTAAAATCGAACATGCACGATGAAGCTTGTCCGTTTTATTACACCCTACATAGAACAAGTATGTCATCTCCTTTGTATACAAGCGAAGTAATTGATAATGTAAATCCAAAATGGTCAAGCCTTGATGTACCAAATATATATGCCACCGATTATTCTACTGCCAGCGGTGAGCTTTACAATCTATTAGTACCTTAAATGTGAATATGTGTTTGTCAATGCGAATAATAACATATTGTAATTAACAACATTTATAAATTTGATATCTGTAACCCTGTATTTCATAAAGCATATAAGAAGGATATTATAAATTCTTTAACAGAGATAATTGTAAGGCTATGGAAAAGAGTGATTGTGGCTAACGCGCCAACTGATATAACTGTATTTACATGGGGCATATCTTTTACTGGTTTGGCATACATTGGCCCAAAATTACCAAATAATTTAGAAACTGTTTTGAAGCCATATTCTCTAATTTTTCAATTCCACGGCGGTTACTTTACGCCAATGTATTGTTTTGTCGATGCACCTGAATTGAAAAGATATCTACATATAAAAGTCAACAATTCTGAAATAAGAGATAGTTACACTGTGAGTAAACTTAGTAGTTTGAAAAATAAAATGCAGGCACTAAAGCAACAGACGGAATCAGTGCAAATACTAAGAATGCGTATTGCTTCGGGAGACAACTTTCATACTCCAAAGTACTCACAATCTTCATTAAACAGATTACTTCAACCCCGTAAAGTAAATAGAGAAAAGAAAGTTGAAATATTAAAAATACGCAAGGAATTAGAAATGGCCAGATTTAGAACAAAGTTATTAGAACAGGAGAGAACAAGGAAAATGGGTGAATTAAGAGTGTTGACTCAGTTACGTTCTAGTATTATCGAGGAAAATCAAGACTATGGTAAAACAACATTTGTTAATTGTACATATTAAAATCTAAATAGGTTTATTTTACATATTTTCATATGTATTATAGGTTCAGATTTAATGGAAAAATATAGAGTACTAAATAAAGATATAGAAAAATTACACGAGTGGCGACAAAATCAGGTAGATACAAGGGAAACGTATGTTCAATTGAGTAGCCAACTTGCTTACAGAAGAAGACAAATAATTTCAGAATTAAATTTAATATATCCTATTATCCAGGTATATATGAACTAAAATTAATAACATATAAAAATGACTTATTGATTTAAAAGTTTTTCATATTTATATCAATACTATTGTATGAACATTATAAGCTAATTATGTTTAATTAATTATATTGTGCAGGATGGAAAAGGGAAATTTAGAATACAGAATGCACATCTACCAGATAGCGAAGATTTAGAATTATCTGATGATACTGAAGTAGCTGTAGCATTGGGATTTGTTGCACACGCCACGCAAATGATTGCTAATTTTCTTAACATACCTACTAGATATCCCATTATCCATTATGGATCACGTAGTAAAATTGTAGATCATATTACAGATCACTTACCCGATAATGAAAGACAGTAAGTATTTAATTTTCATATATTCCTAAAGTTGCATTTAAATCATATAATTAATAAAATTAATTGTTTTAGATTTCCATTATTTGCTCGTAGTAAAGATAAATTACAATTCCGTTATGCAGTTTATTTATTGAACAAAAATATAGCTCAGTTGAGGTGGTACTGTGGCCTTCCAACAACAGACTTGCGAGCAACACTTCCAAACTTAATTACTTTAATAAACATTAGACCAAATCAATCTCAGTAAGTTACACTATGATAATTGAAATCTTAAAGTGAAGATTTTATGAAATATTTTATGATCGTTTATTATAGTTTAGATAATTCAAAACGAACATATTCTACATCATCTCTGGATATCGATATTGGGAATGGAAAACAAAACATACCACTAACGCCGCCTATTCAAAAAATAATATTTGAAAAATGCCATCGATCCTCGAGATCTATGAGTCAATTGAAGAGTATAAAATCTTCTCTTGGATCTTCTTTGGATCAAGGTCTAGATAAGCCTGTACAGTCCCTCGTTTTAAGCAGCCAATCAAAACGGATTTGTAAGTCAGAAGAAAGTGCCATAGACAATAAAACGTTGGTACTACCAAAATATAGATCAAGTAATAGTAGCAATGAAACTTTAAATAATACTATTTTAAGTAATATAAGTGGTACAAATGTCGAAGATAACAGTCAAGAAAATAATGCGATTGCACTAGAAAGTAATATAGAAATTATGATACCTACATCTGTTTCCAAATCAGTTAATGCTGCAGATAGTTTGGAGGGTTCGATGAGCGTAAGAGACAGAAGTTCGAACTCCATAAGTAGTTGTGAAATAGCACTTAATAGTAGCCAAAATGGAGACGATAGTTCAAATGATAATAATATAATCAAGAAGAACGAAACTGAAGAATTTAATGAAGTATTGAAGAATTTTAATGATGTTGTAGATAATGCTCTAAAAAATAGAAAACAGAGTATAGATTATAATCTAGAAAAAGCTTCACAATTTGATGATCCTGGTGTGGCAGCTAGTGAAGCAAGTTACGATATTCATGAAAGTTCTGCAGTTGGCGTTAAATCTTCACCACATAACAAAGAACATTTTGCTAAGTCGTGTTTATCTCTAAACGATATAATGTCATGTACTTTTGAAGACGATGAGCAGAAACAAAGAACGAGTTCCATTTGCAGTTATCCAGAAGGATACCTTAAATCGAAAGATTCTATATTGCAAAAACAATACAATTCGGACTCGAAGTGAGTATAGAGAAAAGAGATGGTAAATATAGTAAAGTATAAAAATTACAAAGCAATATATATTGACTTCATCGTACGTTACAGGAATGATAGAGTAGACCCACCACATTCTATACATTGGTGTCATAATGATGCAAATAAGGAATTAACAGTAAGTGTACGACTCGATTGATTTAATTATAATTTTATTTAATATTAATGCCATGAATGTTTAATCATGATTTTAGTTGGAAACAGAATTAATACAAACAGCGCAGAAATGTGACTTTCAAGCATCAAGCGAATATATAGACATTATTAAACGTAGTTCAGAAAATGTATATGCACGTACTGAAGCTTTAGCTAACAAGAAAACCAGTTTTAAAGTTATGAAACCTCGACTGTAATATTTATATTCTAGAATATACTGCGACGCTGTTGTTGCTGTAGTGGTTGATGTTTAACTGCACCAGATCCCAAAACATTCAATAATACATGGCTCACATAGAAAATTAAAATATTTATTGCGTTCTTACATAGAAGTTTAATACTTTTTACCTCGATGATTAAGATTAACATCGAATACATAAACTGAACCGAATTAAAGGAATATAGATCAAGAAATATGAAAAGCGGAATTACATTAAGTTAATTATGTTAGACGTTGCAGTATCTTAATTTTCAAATTCCATACAAATTGCGAAGAATAATTTAATGTTGTTATGTTATGTACTTCAAACTAAGTTATGTACATAAAATTTAAATATGCGAACATATATCAGTGAATTCTAATATACATACATACGCGTATG